GAATACAGTAGTAGCTACATTTTTTCCTGTGAAACAATGTATTTTTTCTTTATTGGGATAACTTTTTCTATTTGTCAATACATAAAAAATTTTAGGGTAATCAAACGTCAAACGTAGAATAACTATTTATTAATGCATGAATTATTTATATAGTTACGTGATGAATAATAATTTAAGAAACTTACTTTAAGATATATATATTTTTTAGGAAATTTTGAAGAAAATAACATAAATATATGATAAGTGATGATATTATATTAAGCTATTAATTCGATAGAAAAGATAATAAAATAACATTAAAGAATGTTATTAAATAATAATATATAATGAAAATGAAAATAATCTAAAAGTATTACGTCATACTAAAATTAAAAGGGTTAATAAATAATAATTACTTGACTAAACGTTAAAGAATAAAATAAAAGAAAGTTATACATTTTTCATTGTATAAAGCAATGCAAAACTAAAGAATGGACATATGCTTGATATTACGGGTGTACAGGATTGGGTTGGTTCGAGTTTTTTAAATATCAAATCAAATTATTTGTATAAAAATTTTATTGGTTCGAGTTTTTTAAATATCAAATCAAATTATTTGTATAAAAATTTTAAATTTATAAACCAAATTAAATTAACAAAATTTGGACTTTTTGGGGGTTTTCAACTTCGGGGTCGGTTCGAGTTTTTCAAATATCAAGCCGAACTATTGTGTCAAATTTTTAAATTTATAAATCAAACCAAATAATAAACCTCAAATTTTTTCAGTAAAGTTTGCATACAAACATATAATTTACTTGTGCTTCAAATATTTCTTTAGTCAAATCAAAATACAATTATTTAAGGTGTTTTTTAAAAAAATAACACAAAATATGGAATGATTATTGATGACGCAAAAAAATTCAACTACAAATAATAATGAAATTATCATGTAAAATAAATATTGTAAACCATGCTAAAAGAGTTACATTACTAAATATTTAAGGAAAATTAAAATTAGATTATGTCTTTTAATTATCTAAACCAATGTAAAATTAAAGAACAAATATTCAATATTATTGTCATATTTAGTGTTGAATTGATTTTTTTTGCATTATTATTTATTTGATTTTGATTTATATTTTATTATAATTATCAACATCTATTAACTATAATCTTTCTTGAACTATTCCAAATTCTAAGTTTTAAACTTGAAATGATATATTAAAAGATAGAACTATAAAATAGTATAAGAAATATTTTAAAATTACATCAAAGTAAATATTTTTATGTATAAAATAAATTTAAAATAACATATATAAAGTCGGGTTGGTTTGGTCTCAAATTATTTTTTCTTTATATAAAACCAATCCAATCCAAATATAGTCGTATTTTTTTTCAATACCAAATCAAGTCAAACTAAATCACTAATCAAATTTTTTTTCAAGTTGATTCGATTGACAATTTGATTCAATTTTCTGTTCGATTTTATAAATCCCTACTTAGATATTATTATCATTCCTCGTGTTCAACTCAATTTCTTTTGTGAGCATTTGTATTATATAATTTTGTTTCGACCTAATTTGTTTTATTGATATTTATGAGTAATAGAAATTATTGGACCATTAAAATTTCTTAGTTCAAGCTTGAAGTTATATGCTAAAAAAAATTAATAAAAAGAAAAAATTCTAAAAATATTTATAAATATAAATTACGACAATTTTTTACGCATCAAATACTTTTAAAAATTGTATACAAGTAAAGCAGGTTGGGATGGTTAGATTTGAATTTTTTTTCCAGATAAAACCAAACTAAATCAATTATGATAGTTTTCTTTTTTATAAAATCAAATCATGACTATTAGTTGTTTTTTCTCTCGAATTGACTCTAGTTATTAGTTTGGTGTGATTTGTTGATTGTTTTTATATACCCCATTTTTAAGGGTCGTTTGATTTGAAGAATAAAAAAAAGTATTTTAGAATAAAATGAGAGCACTATTTTATTTTGTATTTGATATTCATTTATTTTATAATTTTATGATATATTAGTTATGCTACGATCAATTATATCACTTATTTTTCGAATAACAATTTAATGTTTATCGGGCTCATGATAAAATATATGCTCTTCTATAATACACTTTTCTCAAAGTCGTTTAAGTAATGACAAGATTAAAATTGAAAATATAAATCTATCTCAACTTATTTAGTGTAAAACTAAACATTGTTATAAAATTAAGCTCAGAACATAATAAGTAGGAGAAAAAGACTAGATAAGTACATAGAGGATGAAAATTTTCTTTTATTCAAATATATCTTACAATGGTGAATGATATCTTTATTTATAAATTGAAATATTATCCCTAAAATCATCATATTAAATGCTCAAATTAGTAGATACATTGTTATCCAAAAGATACATACATGAATGTAAGCAGTTCATGAATAAACCAAATGGATGAATTATATTTCATTGGTTCTATAACAAACACATCTCTTTTGTTTTATAGCTTGTTTTATATCCAATTTTCGTCCAATAATCTACTAATAAAAGTTTATCTAAATTAGAAATTCTATCTTATTTAGTCCTAATATTGTGACAAAATGAAGAAGGCATTTGGAATATTTGGTTATGTTTTTTTTTTTAAATATATTTAAAGTTGAAGGGATAGGAGTTGAGTATATGTGAGTTCATGATATTTTTTCATCCAAAATACCCTATAATTATGTTTCCAATATTTTAAATATTAAAATTTGGTGTGTTTATTTTGAAATATTATTTTATAGCTTAATAAGGAGTATAATTTTGGAATAAAATTTTGAAATACAAAGGAGGATAATGTGATACTCCTATGGAAGATAAGATAAGAGTAGGAGTCAATTGGAAGTGACACCACTTGCCATTGGGTGCTATATATATTTCTTTTAATAATGAGCTTTAAGCTATCTTACAACATAAATTTAGATTAATCTTTGAATATCAAAAGAAGATTGGAAAATTTATTTGACAATAAACTTTGATATTCAAATATTTCCAAGCTTTCAAAAATTAGGTCAAATTAATATTAAGACTTTTACTCACATGCCATTAAATTTTTGAGAAACATCAGATGCATATTCAAATATTAACTTTAAATTTCAAATCTATGACTAAATTAGAATCTTTGTCCATAAATTTAAAGAAGATTTCAAAATTATTTCTTGAAATATTTGTTTGACCGTAAAATTTGATGTTCAAATATTTTTGAACTTTTAAAATTAGATCAAATCACTTAACTTCATTTTTTTTTCTAAATCAGATGCATGTTCAAATATCAATTTTAAATTTAAAAATATATGACCAATCCTTGGTCATAAATTTAAAAGAAAATTTTAAAATTTTATTTACAAATATTTATTTGACCATAAAATTTAATGTTAAAATATTTTCTGAATTTCCAAAAATCAGGTCAAACCATTTTTTGGGACTTTTACATACAGAATTTCAACTTCTTTTCTAAATTAAATGTATGTTTCAAATATCAACTTTAAATTTTAAAATTTACTATATAAAAAAAATTTCGATCATAAATTTCAAAAAAAATAAATTAAAAACTTTATCTTCAAATATTTATTTATTGAAATATTTTTTGAGTTTCCAAAGATAAGGTCAAACCGATTTTAGGTACTTTAATTTGCATAACTTCAATATTTTTCTCTAAATATGCAGTTCAAATACCAATTTTAAATTTTAATGTTTAATCATAAAATTTGATATTCAAATATTTTATGAGACTCCAAAGACTAGGGTCAAGCCATTTTTTGGTACTTTACTTACATAACTTTATTCCCTAAATGTGCATGTTAAAATATCAACTTTAAGTTTTAAAATTAATGACCAAATGTAATATACATTTGGTCATTAATTTTAAAATTTTGTCTTTAAATATTTATTTGACAATAGAATTTGATATTCAAATATTTATGAGTCTACAAAAACTATGATCAAACCAATTTTGGATACTCTTACTCACGTAACTTTAATATTTTTTTCTATATATATACCAATTTTAAATTCTAAAATCTTTGAACAAATGAAAATCTTTGCTCATAAATTTTTTACAAAATTATTTTTAAGTATTTATTCGATCATAAAATTTGATATTTAAATATTTTCTAGAATTCCAAAGACTAGAGTCAAACCATTTTAAGGTACTTTCACTTACATAACTTTAGTTTTTCTTTTTCTTTCTAAATACGCATGTTAAAATATCAATTTTAAATTTTAAAGGCATAATACATAAATATATCATTTAACTTGACTTCAAATCACAGTTATGTCCTTCAACTTTGGGTGTGCATAAGTAGACACTTCAACTTGTATAAAATTAAACAAATAAACACATATGTCCTATATGTCATCCTACATGTCATTTTTTGTCCTACGTGGTGTCATACATGTAATTTGCCATATAGGACTCATTTATTTATTTAAAAGTTGGATAGTTAAAGTGACTGTTTGTTCATTGTGAAAGTTTGATGTTAAAGTTAAAATTTGAAGTCAAGTTTAGGTTCAATATATGCATTATGAAAATTTTAAATTTCGTGATCAAATGAGAATTTAATCACAAATTTTAAAAAAATTATTTTAATATTTATTTGATCATAAAATTTATCATTCAAATATTTCTGAGTCAAAAATATTTTTTGATACTTTCGCTTATATAACTTTAATTTATTTTCTAAATATATAATTTTAAATTTAAAATCTCTGATCAAACGAAAGCCAAAATTGAAAGGTGAAAAAGATTGTTTAAAGAAAAAAAAAAGAAGGTGACACAACCCTCCATTTCTTTCCTTCCCAATAAACAAAAAATAAATAAATATATAAATCCATTATCATCTTTCTATCTAAATGTGATTTCTGCTGACGTGGCCCAATAGAAAGTAGTGTACCTTTTTTAAGATTTGAGTTTCATATTCCTAGCTAAATACAATGCTTATATAAATATATATATGTACATATTCATACAAGTGTACCTTCACATTCCTCCACATTGGATCAACACCATTTGATCCTTTTTATCAAAGATTCATTTTTTTTTTCACTTACCCTCCAATTACATCTTCATAAACAACATTTTAGTGACAGTAGCACCAACACACCCCACTAGAATTTTCTTGAAGTAAACCCCTTTTTTCAAGAATCAAGAAACCACTTATAAAATTTGTGGGTTTTCATTGAAACAAAGGAAAAAAAACAGTTGAATTGACTAATCATGGCTTTGTGTGCTTATGCATTTCCTGGGATTTTGAACAGGACTGGTGTGGTTTCAGATTCTTCTAAGGCAACCCCTTTGTTCTCTGGATGGATTCATGGAACAGATCTGCAGTTTTTGTTCCAACACAAGCTTACTCATGAGGTTTGGACTTTTTTTTTAAAATTTGAGTAAAATGCTCATGTTCTAGTTGAACTATTTTTTCCATGTGTAGTTGGTTGTACTAGTGTTTCTTGGTTTTCTTCTAAATGGTGGTCATTGATTCAGTCAATTTAAGTTTATTTGCTCGAGTCGAAGTCGAGATTTGAAGTTAAGGGGTTTTTATAGCTGGACTTAAATTAGTGTACAATAGTAATTGGACTATTTATTGCTATGTATGTACAAAAGTTATTGGGTTCTCGTGAACTCGTAAGTTGTGCTCTAGATCTTCCTTGGTGTAGTTGGAAGTAAATTTCTTCATTGGAGTTGAAAAGATACGTTTTTTATAAGCTGTCAGTATCTAGATGTAAAAAAATGATATATTTATTGACTTTAAGTGCATTTAACTGTCAGTTTGAGATTAAATTATACTGAGTTTGATGGCTGTTTTTGTATTGATTTATTATGAAGGTCAAGAAAAGGTCACGTGTGGTTCAGGCTTCCTTATCAGAATCTGGAGAATACTACACACAGAGACCGCCAACGCCTATTTTGGACACTGTGAACTATCCCATTCATATGAAAAATCTGTCTCTGAAGGTAGAATTTTTATGGCACTTAATTGTCTCCATGATAAATGAGTCAACAAATTATGTGCTTAAAGTTTCAAAATTGATTTTGATGTAGGAACTTAAACAACTAGCAGATGAACTAAGGTCAGATACAATTTTCAATGTATCAAAGACTGGGGGTCACCTTGGCTCAAGTCTTGGTGTTGTTGAGCTGACTGTTGCTCTTCATTATGTCTTCAATGCACCGCAAGATAGGATTCTCTGGGATGTTGGTCATCAGGTGATAATCTTGTTTTCTGATTAATATGGTTAACTTATTTCACTTGTGGGGTTAGTAGTATTCTCATTTTGATGATGTGTTCTGAATGTTGCAGTCTTATCCTCACAAAATCTTGACTGGTAGAAGGGACAAGATGTCGACATTAAGGCAGACAGATGGTCTTGCAGGATTTACTAAGCGATCGGAGAGTGAATATGATTGCTTTGGCACCGGCCACAGTTCCACCACCATCTCAGCAGGCCTAGGTATATATCTATTCCACCCTTCTGTGTGCTGAGTTCAATTCAAATCATGACTCGTGACACTTGAATCGATTCCCTCCTTAAACATGGATCGGCTTTGAACATTAGTGATAATTCAATTCATCTTGGTGTTTCATTTGTCAATATGAATGTAGGGTTTTTGTTTGAATTGATGTCCCTAGATCCACACAAGTTAATGTCACTTGGCATATGTCTGGCTCTTCTGGTGATATAAATCCATCATAAATGTACATTAATTATAACTCAAGTATAAAGTCTGATATTTAGTTATTCAGATATTAAAGTGGTTTCTTTGAATGATCAGGGATGGCTGTTGGTAGAGATCTAAAAGGAAGAAACAACAATGTTATTGCCGTAATAGGTGATGGTGCCATGACAGCAGGTCAAGCTTATGAAGCCATGAATAATGCTGGTTACCTGGACTCTGACATGATTGTTATCTTAAACGACAATAGACAAGTTTCTTTACCTACTGCTACTCTGGATGGGCCAGTTGCTCCTGTTGGAGCTCTAAGTAGTGCTTTGAGCAGGTTACAGTCTAATAGGCCTCTCAGAGAACTAAGAGAAGTCGCAAAGGTTTGCATACATATAGAAGGATTTGAACAAGGGTTTTATGAGTGAAGAAACTGAATTGGATTTTATGTGTTTGAAATTGTTGCAGGGAGTTACTAAGCAGATTGGTGGTCCTATGCATGAGCTTGCTGCAAAAGTTGATGAATATGCTCGTGGCATGATTAGTGGTTCTGGATCAACATTGTTTGAAGAACTTGGACTTTACTATATTGGTCCTGTGGATGGTCACAACATTGATGATCTAATTGCGATTCTCAAAGAGGTTAGAAGTACTAAAACAACAGGTCCAGTACTGATCCATGTTGTCACTGAGAAAGGCAGAGGTTATCCATATGCTGAGAGAGCTGCAGATAAGTATCATGGTAAGCAATCACTTATCCAGTTACCGTCACTAGACTGCTTGAAATCTTTAAACCAATACATGTGCTTCAAGTGTGTATCTCATTTGCACGTTTCAATGGATACTTTAATATCGAAATGATATTTTTGATTTGGTTCTATAATCTATCTTACATTCTGAATGTTCTTGAAAAGTCATTGGACATCTGTTTGTTCTGTTTTCCTTGTGTGTTTCACAAAGGTCATTCTAGTTATTATAGAAAGCACAAAATTAAATCTGTTTATGGGTTGCAGGAGTTGCCAAGTTTGATCCAGCAACAGGAAAGCAATTCAAAGCCAGTGCCAAGACACAGTCCTATACAACATATTTTGCCGAGGCTTTAATTGCAGAAGCAGAAGCAGATAAAGACATTGTTGCAATCCATGCTGCCATGGGGGGTGGGACCGGAATGAACCTTTTCCATCGTCGCTTCCCAACAAGGTGTTTTGATGTTGGAATAGCAGAACAACATGCAGTAACCTTTGCTGCTGGATTGGCTTGTGAAGGCATTAAACCTTTCTGTGCAATCTATTCGTCTTTCATGCAGAGGGCTTATGACCAGGCAAGCAAAAATGCCTCCAATTATTCTCATTTTGTTGAATATAGTGCAGTTTAAGTGAATGTTATGATATTACAGCCGAAAAACCCTTTAACTGAGTTCATGGTGGTTCTATATTCAGGTAGTGCATGACGTTGATTTGCAAAAGCTGCCCGTGAGGTTTGCAATGGACAGAGCAGGTCTTGTTGGAGCAGATGGTCCAACACATTGTGGTGCATTTGATGTTACTTACATGGCATGTCTTCCTAACATGGTTGTAATGGCTCCTTCTGATGAAGCGGAGCTATTTCACATGGTAGCAACTGCTGCCGCCATTGATGACAGACCAAGTTGTTTTAGATACCCAAGAGGAAATGGGATCGGTGTAGAGCTTCCGGCTGGAAACAAAGGAATTCCTCTTGAGGTACTTTTTAATTTCCACCATGCCTTTCATGCTGTCTGATATATCTATCAAACGATTGATTGATGATGACATTTGACTTTTCGTGTAAAAAACATATTCAGGTTGGTAAAGGTAGGATATTGATTGAGGGGGAGAGAGTGGCTCTATTGGGATATGGCTCAGCAGTGCAGAACTGTTTGGATGCTGCTATTGTGCTAGAATCCCGCGGCTTACAAGTAACAGTTGCAGATGCACGTTTCTGCAAACCACTGGACCATGCCCTCATAAGGAGCCTTGCAAAATCACATGAGGTGCTAATCACTGTCGAAGAAGGATCAATTGGAGGTTTTGGATCTCATGTTGTTCAGTTCATGGCCTTAGATGGGCTTCTTGATGGCAAGTTGAAGGTAAAACTCTCCCGAAGATATTTCATACCTTATATGTAGTATGCATTTGGTTATTACTCAAACTGTCACTTGTTTATTTTGTGCAGTGGAGACCAATAGTTCTTCCTGATCGATACATTGACCATGGATCTCCTGTTGATCAGTTGGCGGAAGCTGGCCTAACACCATCTCACATTGCAGCAACAGTATTTAACATACTTGGACAAACCAGAGAGGCTCTAGAGGTCATGACATAAGATGGAAGAAGCGTAGAAAGATATATAGTATATTGTAAAATATAGTTTTAGGTCATGACATAAGCAGATTAACATATACTTTATCCTCCAAAATATGTTTAAAGTTTCCATGGCTGAGTTCAAGCCCTCCTCTTAGTCTCCACCATGACTTATGATTAACTCATATGGTTTCTGATTGTGTAACCGGTTCTTGATTTTTCGAGTTATGAAGATGAATGAAAATGAAAGATTTTACTTTTAGAATGTGTGGATGAAACCATTTTCTTGAATAGTTAACTTTGTTATGCATGTTTGAAGAACTATTAGAAACTTGTCATGTAGTAACACACAAGAGACTACATTGATGGAAACTAATGACCTTTGATTGAGCATAAAACAAAGAAACTTTATGTAGAGACCACAAATGTATCTCTTTTTTTCAATAACAATCATATTCGAGCTTTACATTGTGTACTTGTTACCTCCTATCAGTACAAGTATGACATGATTCTAGTGATCACCAGGTCCATAACTGTATCTTTCTTTTGTTTCATTAACAATTATGTTTGAGCCTGTTTGCGAGCGCGTGATTGTTACACTGTGTACCTGTTACCTACTATCAGTATAAGTATGACACGACTCTAGTGATCACCAAGTCTACAAATATGACTTTTTAGGTACTTAGTTTGGTGGATGCTTGGCATAGGCAGACTTGTCAAGTCACTAGTGTTCTAGATGCATATATCAGTACTATTAACCATTCATTTGGTCTGTCCACTTTCAGATAATGGAATGAACACAAAAGAAAGAATCACTAGATCACTGTAAACCCTCAGGTTCTCCAACGTAGGGTAGGGCGTTTGAGCCGTTCAGATCGAATATAAAAATTTTGATTTTGAATATTTGGATTGGAGAAATTATAATTCAAATAAATTCTGATTGGATTGTTTGATTAATCAATTTGAATATTTTTTGGTTTTGCCTTTTGAGTTTTCAATGTATGACATAACAATTGACAACCTCAATTCTCCTAGTAATTCCCTTCTTAACATATATAACTTTTTATGGCTAACCAAGATTGATTACAACCTTCTACTCTTGCATTAAGCTTTAATTTATTTACTCAATATGAGTGATGTGAAAAAGCAAAAAATCCTATATTATATTCAATTTACTAGAAAATATCAAATTGATACCATTATAAATATAGCCGAAATGAAATGTATTACTAGTATTTTGCACATAAAGTATATGAGTAATGCACTATATTTAGATAAATCTAATATCCAATTCAAAATTCATAAATCTTAAAGAATAAAAATCGAAATCGAATCCATAATTGAAAATTTTAAATAAAAAATCTTAAAAGTTGAGATTTGAGATTAACCAGAAATTATGCCCACCCTACTCCAAAGTGCTCTGCCATCGGCTTTAACGTCAATTTTTAGGTTTTGCTGTTGGCCACTAATAAGTTCGTTAATTGCATTTCTAAATATGAGGACTAATCTAAGATACTGCAATCCACTCACAAATCACTAAAGATAACATTTTTTTTTAGTTTACTTAGATAAATAATTAAAGTTTGGATATATTAAAAGTGTCATTCTCGAATGGACTCTGCGCTTTTCGAATTTAATCGATGCTTTAATGTGAACTTCAAACATCAAATCGGGTGGAAAAATTTGGATATATTGGCTATTTGATGTGCTTAAACTTTCACTATATAGCGAGGGTCTATTAATGTACACAAATTTTTTTATCTATTACTTCTGCAAGATATTGTTTTCACGGCTTTTGAATCGGTTAATAAGATAATAATTGCTTCTGGCTAGAGTTAATTTCTTTTAGGTTATGTTTCACAGTCTACCTGAGTCATCATTGCTACTTATTTTACTTAATAAGTTTAATTCATCTTGTTGATCAAGAAAACCTTTAAAACTGAAAATGACACACAAAAAATAAAAAAATCTATAATTTTATACCAAGCAAAAGAGTTGAAATAATTCTTTTTTTTGTACAATAACATGTATAATACAAGCAAAAAGTAGAAATGAATACTTTAGTCCTCTAACTTATCCAAAAGTTGTCCTATACATGATTGGTTGTAATTTAATTAAAATAATATAATTTATGATGTAAAAGGAAATACCTATCTACAAAATATATACCTTAAACATTCGTTTGTAAATGAGGCATAGTTTAATTGTCTGAGAAAATCTCAATATTTTCTAAAATAAAAAGTTAGGTCAAGTTAGGCTTGTTGAAATAATCCTTTAGCTCAAAAGATATTTCTAAAATACAGCTCAGACAATTTTGTTTTCTAAAAGAAGTCAAGTTAATAAATAAACCATGACATAAAAACTAAAATCTTAAAATTTTCACTTTGACATACTATTTTGCTGTTGATATTGTGTAACACTTTTTTGTGTAAGATTAAAAATTCAAATACATAATATCAGAATTTTGAACACAATGATCTTATATAGAGATCGTTAGGATTACATACTTGATGAGGAAGACATTCATCAGTTGTAAATTGGTTTCTACCTCCTTGTCCTAACTTTATGTTACCATAACCGTCAGTGATGAAATTATTGTAGAGAATATGTGGAGGAAAGACCAATTTATAGAGGTTATGATTTAATCTGGTATGTCCATCAAGTAATCAATGTACGGACGAGATCTATTCCTTATTAAATACTATATATGGTATTACTTGGATTACAAGTAAACTTGGGTTATAAGTAAGAAATAATTAATAATAATAATAATAATTCTTACGTTCTCCCACGTGGCCCAATAACCATATAACACTAATATTTAATAAACATTAGTTTTGCATACAATAGAACTCTTCTATAATGTCCATCATACATACCACAATATAACAAACTACTAATCCGAGTTATGACGATTGTACATAAATTTTAAACTATATACTTTCTTCCATATACTACTACATTAGCAACTTATCATACTAGGTTTATAAGCTATAAAAACATATAACATTACGGTCCACAATAATGTCTCATAGAGACTCATCTTGTAATTTCTCAAAATAATAATGTGTACACCATTATGAGAAACAAGATATTTATTAATGTATATCAGAAACACATAATTTGAGCTTAGAGTGAAAACATCATAAATATATCAATCATAAGTACAACCAAGACCCAATCTTTGTTCATGTTCTTTACATGTCTTTGATTGTAAGCCTTTTGTTAACAGATCTGCACACATGAGATAAGTTCTAATATTCTTGAGTAACACTCTTTGTTTTCGAATTTCTTCCTTGACTGTAAAGTACTTTGATTCCATATGTTTGGAACATTTGGAGTACTTGTCATTCTTAGAGAAGAATACTACTCTAGCATTATCACAATAAATTTTCAGAGGATTGATAATGATGTTGACAATCTCAAGTCCTGAAATAAAATTTCACAATCATAATGTATGAATTATGACTTCATAACGTGCCATAAACTTTCTTAGCAGGTTTCATTGTTAAACAATTTATCAAAGATTTGAACATATAACTAATTTATTACTACAATCAGGGGCGGACCCAGTAAGCCAGACGAGGGTGCTCGAGCACCCATTGATTTCCGAAATTTTTTGTATATATATATATATATATATATATATATAGAAAATATGATACATATGTTATTAAAATTTAAATGAGCACCCATAGAACAAAAGCAGCTGTGGTGAGCTGGTTTAAACCTCTGCCATAAGAGGCGTGCGAAGCCATTAGCGAGTGTTCGAATTTCGCCAGTAGCATTTCTTTTCTTAAATTTTTTCCAGCAAATTTTACACCTGGAATTGAGCACCCACAACCTTTAAATCCTGGATCCGCCACTGACCATAATTTGCTTGTTCCAACAATAACACTACAATTTACTTTAAATTACATAAAGTTAATTGGTATCATACACAATTACTAAAGATCGTTAAAGACATAACAACAAAAAAGACACATGTTGTACACATTAATAGACAATATATATAGGCAGAATGACTTAAAAACTTTTATACTTGGCTCGAATTGTCGCATGAGAGACCCTAAAATTAGTTTTTGACGCGACAATTCTTCCTGATTTGTCCAGCATTTCCTGTAAGAACTTCAATGGCTCCCATTTTCTTCATGGATTTCGCAAACTCGAAAAAGAAAGTGTTATCATCTTGCAATTTCTTGATGACAATTACTGAGTCTTTGTCATTGAGAAAGGCAGCATCAGATTGGAACAACCCTTTGTTTTGATTAATAAGAATGTTGAAATAATTGCTATCAAATGAAGTTGAACTCAAAGGGTCCATATCAACAATTGTAGCTGGATTGGCTGGATTTGGGCATACATCCTTCAAATCTTTAGCATAAGTAGCATTGAGAGATGGATCTATGTCACCTTTGCCACTGAAATTGAAAAGTCTCTTTGAAAATGTTCCACAATGAGCAACCACCAATTGTATGAGCACCTACATACATAAAATATACACGGATTTAATTTATATACGTTGACAATATACATAAATATATTTTGTTTTAGTGACAACACATGATTTAAGAAAGAAAAACTTTTAAAACTTATGCAGGTTTTAAAATAAGCTATGAACATTTATTGTATGCCATTCTCGAGATTTATAGTCACAACTTACAATTTTCATTATCTTTTAAATGACCTGACAATATAGTATGGACCAATAATATTTTACCTGATAATGCGTCGAGATCATTGACATTTAGGCCTTTTTTTGCAAAGAGTTGTAGAAGGGTTGAAATATTTGAATCTGTAAAGGTAAGTGTGAGGTCACTTCACTTGCAAGGGAAACATTTCCATCTTTTCTTCCTGTCTCCGCTCCCCACATTGAAGTTTTAAACTGCATGCAAACAACTAATTAGAAAAGAACATTTTTACATTCTTTATAGGGTCAACGTATAAATTATTAATTTCTTAAATTTATGTTTGAATACGTTGACTTATTATATGACTTACGGGAAAAGAAACAGCATCACGAGCAGATAAAGCTAAAATGTCAGCACAAGAAACAATGCCAGGACATTTAGCCTCAACTTGTTTCTTGATATCATCAATTACATCGAAACCACCCAAAGAGAGATTTGGTACAGCCTCCTTCTCTGATTGTTCTGTTCCCTCTGTATCCAACAATACGGATTCATCACACCCCTACAAATGTTACTGTTAGTGTATATAACTTAAATTCTACTATAATATTATCTTAATTCATATACGT